CTTCCCAGACCCAGGGAGGAAGACTGTTTTCCAGCTTCCCTTGCTTGAGGTTAGGACCCAATGACTGGGTTTTGGCCAAAAGAATGTGGGCAGAATTGATTCAAGCCACTTCCAGGCTTGGCTCAGCAGGTTCACTCCTACTTGCTTTCAGGCTGTGTGAGTGCAGAGGCTCCAGAAAAGACCTTTGGTTGGGCCACTCCCAACCCTCAGAAGACAGTCAATCTGGTTGATGAAAAGATCTTGTATCCTTGAAGGACCTGGGGAGGGTAGCCACCAAGGAAAGTCACTTGAACATTTTGATTATGGTATGAGGAAGAGATGAACTTTGATAGCGTTAAGACAATGGGATTTGTGGGTTATTACTGCAGCTGATATTAGTCACTAAGGAATAGATCCCATCTCAAGAAACCACTTTCTATGCTTACTCATAAATAAGAAGCAACTCCTTATCCATTAAAGTTTTATGATAAGATTGCAGCAATTCAGTCACACCTTCAGGCTCCACTTCTTATAATTTTAGTTCTCTTGCTATTTCCACTACATCTGCAGTGACTTTCTCCACTGAAGTTGAAATCCTTATTCATGAGCTTCTGTCAAACTCCTTTTAATGTTGATATTTTGACCTCTTCTCATGAATCATGAATGTTCTTAATGGCAGCTAGAATGGTGAATCTTTTCCAGAAGATTTTCAATTTACTTTGCCCAGATCCATCAGAGGAATCACTATTGCTGGCAGATATAGCATTATGAAAGGTATTTCTTAAAGAATAAGACCTGAAAGTTGAAATGACTCCTGGATCCATGGGCTGTAGAGTGGATGTTCTGTTAGCAGGACTGAGAACAGCATTCATCTCATTGTACATCTCCAGCAGAGCTCCTGGGTGACCAGGTACATTGTCAATGAGAAGTAATATTTTGGAAGGAGACTTTTTTTTTCTTCTGAGCAGTAGGACTCAACAGTGGGCTTGAAATATTTAGTCAATCATGCTATAAACAGATGTGCTGTCATCCAGGCTTTGTTGTTTCACTTAGAGAAAATGAGCAGAGTAGGCTTAGCATAATTCTTAATGGCCCTAGGATTTGCAGAATGGTAAGTGAGTGTTGGCTCCAACTTGAAGTCACCAGCTGCATTAGCTGCTAACAAAAGAGTCAGCCTGTCCCTTGAAGCTTGGAAGCCAGGCATTGACTTCTCTGATGGCCTCTTCCAATAGAAGGTTGTTTTGTCTGCATTGAAAATCTGATGTTCAGAGAAGCCACTTGTAGTCATTATCTGAGCTAGACCTTTTGGAGAAACTGCTGTAGCTTCTAGATTAGCACGTTCTGATTCATCTTGTACTTTTATATTATGGAGACAGCTTCTTTTCTTAAACCTCAGAACCAATCTCTGCTAGCTTCAAATTTTCTCCTGCAGCTTCCTCACCTCTCTCAGCCTTCGTAGAATTGAAGAGAGCTAGGGCCTTGCACTGGATGAGGCTTTGGCTGAAGGGAATGCTGTGGCTGGTTTCATCTTTTATTCAGACCACTAAGACTTCTTCATACTAGTGAGAAGGCTGTTTCACTTTCTTATCATTCGTGTGTTTACTGGAGCAGCACGTCTAACTTCCTTCAATTACTTTGGCTTACTTTGAAATTTCTGATATTAGGGGGTACAAGGGAGGCAAGGAAGTAGTTATATAATGGAGCAGGACCCCTGGGGTCTTCCCAGGACAAACCCCGCCATGTTCTCCACCTGCCTCTTGTCTGTACAAAAACTGTAGCCAAAGAATAAATTTAATCAGATAAATGAGGAAATGCAAAAGCAAAGGGAGTCAGTTAAGCAAAACAAAATAATAATAGTTTAGCCATTAAACAAAGACAAGGACCTATAGTTCCTCTTCAAAGGCTATAGGTAATATTCTGAGCCATATCCTTTGAGCTGTTTTGGAGATACTAAAACCCCCACCAGGTGAAGGAAGTTAACTACATGATGACCAGACTGTAGCCATGACATAAGCTGCTCTATCTTACACAATTCAGAGAAATGGCCTCAAGGAAATGGGAACAAACTGACCCTGGAGTTAAAGATTAACTGTATCTAAAACAATCAAGATGATGCTGATCAGACCATCGCATGACCAATTTCAAGACGATTGTCAGAGTTGATTGTGCTGTTTCATCTTTCCTCCTATATACCCCTGAAACTCCTCTTTAATAGCTCTTGCCTCTGATCAGCAAGGGGGAGTTGGTTCTTTGGGACATGAGTCCACCTTCTCCTTAGGAATTGCTGGCTTCCTCAATAAAGCTAAATATCCTTTACCCAACACTTGTTTCTCAGTATTGGATTCTTGTGCAATGAGCACCAAACCTGAGTAGGGTAACATTTATGCTTTCAGGAACGTGATCCTTATGACCACACTCCACATATACAAAAATCCCTTGTCCCCTCAGGGCTCATATCTGTCTAGGATGGAAGGTAGGGCTTTTAGGCATTTTTCAGGACATGTGTAGGAGTGTGAGTGCTGTATTTACATGATCAGTGGAGGTGGTGTGTCAGTGAGAATCTTGTAACTGATGCTTCTTATGTCTCTTCTATTTTGTTGTTGGGTTTTATTTTTATTTCCCTTTTTGCCAGCAGCCAACACCATGTAGCTCATTCCTTCACTACATGCCAGCTCTGTGTGTATCCAGACTGCCGCAGATGGCGTGGAACTCAGGAGCCAGATGAAGCTAAAAGCACGCCTGTCTGCTTACCAGGAATCCCTGCCCTGGTGTCCCAGTCTCCTGATGAACACCTCCTTTGAGGCAAGCCCAGGTAAACTGTCACCTCTTCTATAAATCCTTCCCCAGAAAGAATGAATCCATCCTTCTTCTGGGGTCTTATGAAAGCCATCAGAACCTGTACTGATTATTGGTTTTCACATGCATCAGTTAACGGGTGTGAATTTACTACAAGACACTTCATTGGAAGGTTGGCATATTTCTTTGTTTTTCCAAATTGAACAACTGGTTTAGTCGCCCATCCCTGCTGCCTGGGTAAATTCAAGGGCTGTCACATTTTGGTGAGCCTTTCCCTAGTTTTTGGTGCCATCCAAGAATCCCGTGCCTTAAGTGGCTCAGAAACGTGGGCACTGCCTCTGCTGATCCACAGTGACCCAGCTCCAGGTGTAGCTCAGATTCTCTGGGGCCTGAGAAGGGTGAGCAGCAGAGTCCCTTCTAGTGGGCGCAGGGAACCCCTCTGCACTCAGCTTTCTGCATCATGCGCGCTGTGAGCAAATGGGCAGAGCTTTCTCACCACTCTTGAAAGACCTCCCCAGCACCCTCTCCCCTGTCCTCTTTCGGAACCACGCCCCCTCTTCAACATCCCAGACATGACTAAGCTCCTGACCCCGTTGACCGGTGTCTGGTGTTTAGACTGTCTTTTTGGGAAAGGGTTGGGAGTTAACTTTTCAACCTTTTGAATCTCCTTAAAACAGAACAAGTCATAAAGAGGATACACACTGGGAGTCCTGTCATACACTTTTGCAGCGCCTCCTCTCTGTAAGATGCCTCCCTGGCCGACTTGGCTTCTCTTGGCACTTCCAGGACCTAGCTGAGAATCAGGCTGGTGTTTGCCCAGCAAATGGTTGCTCAAAGAACATCCACCTCTGGCGGGAGGTAGGAGGGGCTTGCCTCAGGTCTGTCTGCTCTCCTTGGAGCGAACCTGTGGAAGCCTGCTTTACCCCGCCGCAGGGCGTAGGGGAGAGATGGCCATAGAGAACCGGACCCAGAATGGTCCCGGCGCTCTCCCAGCGGCCCAACGCCGCTTCTGTCTGCCAGCGGGAGAGCGGAGTGGCAACAAAGGACAGAAAGGACCAGCAGAGCCTGGCGGTGGATAGCCTCCGGCACGCAAGGACCACTCGGTGGAGA